CCCCAAAACCCCAAAACCCCAAAACCCCAAAACCCCAAAACCCCAAAACCCCGTAATTCTTTGCAACAATTGAAATATAAGAATATAATGTCATCTAAACTAGAAGACTTCAAAATTTTATCTCGCTTAGGAGAGGGTGCTTACAGTAGCGTCTACAAGGTCAGAAGGATTTCAGACAACCAGACATTTGCTCTGAAGAAAGTCCGCATGCTGAATTTGTCTGAAAAGGAGAAACAGAATGCTCTAAATGAGGTTAGAATACTTGCTTCCATTAATGACAAGAATATTATCTCCTTCAAGGAAGCATTTAACGATGATACCTCTCAAGCTCTGTGCATAATCATGGAATATGCAGATGATGGCGATGTATTCACAAAGATAGTCCAACACCAAAAGGAGGAGACTAAGTTTGATGAAGATTTCATCTGGAGAATATTTATTTCAGTTGTTCGAGGCCTCAAGGCCCTTCACGATCTGAAGATAATGCACAGAGATCTCAAAAGTGCCAACGTGTTTTTGAATAAAGATGGAAGCGGAAAACTAGGAGACTTTAATGTTAGCAAAGTCGTAGAGAAAGGACTTAGTTATACTCAGACAGGTACACCATATTATGCATCTCCAGAAGTTTGGAGAGACGAACCCTATGATGCTAAGAGTGACATATGGTCTCTAGGTTGTGTTCTCTACGAGATGATCACCTTAAAGCCTCCCTTCAGATCAGACAATATGCAAGGTCTTTACAAGAAAGTTATTAAAGGACAGTATCCCAAGATCTCTGATAAATATTCAGTCGATCTTCAAACAATAGTGAGGATTTTACTACAAGTCTCACCGAAGAAAAGACCAACTTGATCAGAAATTTTAAACCATGCAATTGTTAAAAAGAAGATAAAGGAGATTTTTCCAGATGATGAGTCAAGCGACAGCGACGAAGAGCATAAAAATATTCTGTTAAAGACTATATACGTCATTGATAAGCTACCAAATCCAATGAGCATAGGTTTTGATAGAGGTGCTTTCACTGAACGTCAAAGTATTGACAACAGAAGTGATAAATCAATACTCCTTCCTAGTATCTCTAAATCCCCAGCAAAGAAAAATCTACATAGATCAAAGCCCAAGAAGAGGTCTGGTTATAATAAGGAAGAAAGCAAAATAGCAAAGAGCTACTTGAAGAGGGAGGTGAAACCCAAAGATTACATTTCAAGAGTTGCGCAAAAAGCTATTGAAACTGATGATACCAAGATCAGTAAGAATCCTAAGAAATCTGTTCGCAATCCGTAAGTCTTTTACTTAACTTTCTCTAAATTTTATTTTTAGTAATAAAGAATCGGAAAAGCGTCTAATGCAGAAAGACCTCCATGAGTCTCCAGTGAAGGAGGACAAGTCTCTGGAAGAAAATAAATCTCACAAAGGCGATATGAATATTGATAAAGAGTATGAAGAGCTTAAGAAGATCCTAAACGCTGGTCCTAAAAAGGAAGATGACACTCCTGAAAAACGGTTATATATGGTCAAGAAAGTTAATTCAAGGGAAGACTCTGGAAACCAAAAGGAGAGTATAGCTAGTATTAAAGGGGGTAGTAGAAACATCTTACTTGACCGTAACATTCCAAGCACAAGGTCTAACCAAGTCGTAAAAACCAACAATCCTAAAGGGAACAATCATGTTGGTGATGGAATTTTATACAAAGTAAAAGGTCAGAACAGATATAGAGCAAACATAATCACTAAGCCGAAGAAGATAGCTCTGAATGAGAAGTACAATAAGTTAGAGATGGGCATCGTTGGCTCCCCTATCATTAGTACAAATTCTAGAATTAAAGCTCTCAGAAAAGAGTCTAAAAGGAGAGATGGAAAAGTAACTTCTCTTGATACTCGCTTACCAAGGATTTCTGATGATAGCTATAAGGAACTTGAGCAAAAGCCTATTGTTTCATCCAGTGTCAACCTTAAGCTACCAACTTTGAAGAATAGTAACAAGAAAATTGCAGGAATATATGGAGGAGACTCAAAGAGTATTTATAAGTCAAACTTACAATACAAATGCAATCCTGGCTCCAAATACAGATATTACAGCAAAGACAGAGGAGCCTCTTCAAAGAGGTATCTTTCCAAGATCGAGCATTCTCAAAGCGTTAACGTTACTAAACTCCCCAAGAAAAAGCCATATATTATTAACAGAATCAATTAAATTCCTCTGAGTTGGGGTTTTGGGGTTTTGGGGTTTTGGGGTTTTGGGG